CCCGCCGAAGCCGGGGAGGCGCGGCAGGACCGCCTGGATCTTGCCAACCGCCGCGTGTTTGGCCACGCCGCGTTCCGGCCGCGGCAGCGGGAGATCGTCGCCGCGGCGCTGGCGGGGGCGGACATATTCGTGCTGATGCCGACGGGCGGAGGGAAGAGCCTGTGCTTCCAGGTGGGTGCGGTTGGGCGGCAAAGTACCCGGGCAGGGGTGGCGGTCGCGCGCAAGCGCGCAAGTGCGCACAAGCGCACACACACACACACACACACACACACACACACACACACAAACACACACACAAACACACACACAAACACACACACACAAACACAAACACACACACCCACACACACACTCACCCACCCACTCACTCACTCACTCAATCACTCACTCTCAAACTCACTCTCTCACTCACACCCCCACCTGCGCAATGCTGCCCGACGCGACCGCCTCCGCCTCGAAATCCTCAAACAGCTCCCCCGCCGGCCGCCCAAACGCAGCCTCTATTGCCCTGAAACTGTAATCAGCCGAGTGCTTGGGCGCGCCGTCATGGAGGGACCCCATAATCTCTGTGAAATCGTCGGGGAACAGGTCCCTCCTGCTGCTGCTCCACTGCGCCCACTTGATCCAGCTCGGCCCGCCGGCCGAGCAGCTGCCAAGCAGCAGCCGCCACGCCGCGCGGCGCAGCGAAAGCGCCGCGGCGGCGGCGCCAGGCGCGGGCGAGGGGGATGGCCGCGCGCAGCGGCCGCAGACGAGCAGGATCAACAGAAACTCGAGTGCCGCAGCGACCATCGACCAGACTGCTGCCCACATACCCGCCCCTCCGCCGCGCTGCGCCGCCCCAACACCTGCCGCTGCCCGCCCGGCTCGCTCCGCCGCGGCAGCGCGCGACGAGAGGAACGCCGCGCATGCCAGGATGGGCAGGCCGAGCCAGATGAAGGGCGCGAATATCAGCGACAGCTGGACGCCGCGCGCCGCGAGCGCGAGCGCGTCGGCGGCGGCCGCCAGCCGCGGCAGCGGCGGCGCCGCGGCGGCGGGGGTGGTGGCTGTAGGCGACGCCGCGGCGGCGGCCACCAAAGTGGCGTGGTCGTCACGACCATACAGGGGTAGGTGCTGCAGGAAAGCAAGCGGGTCGTCCGCCTCCCCAGCGCCGCACATCGGCGCTATCGCCGCAGCGCCGCCCACCCCGCCGGCCACGCCGCGCTCGCGCCGCGGCGGCAGGGGCGGTGGCGCGAGAGTCCCCGTGGGGCCCCCGTCGCCAGCCACGCTGGGCGGCGCGCTGCCGCCGCTGCTGCCGCCCGCAATAACCATGACCGCATCCACCGTTTCCTCGTCACTCTCGCCGCCGCCACCGCTGCCGCTGCCGCCGCCACCGCTGCCGCCGCCGCGGGCGGCGGCCCCGCGGCCGCCCTTGCGCGCGCCGCCGTCAAGCCGCGCCATAGGGGCCCCCTCCGAGGTCTCCACCCGCGGCCGCAGTGCGCCGCCGCTACCGACGCCACTGCTGCCGATGCTGCTGCTGATGGTGCTGCTGCTGCCGTCGCCGTAAATTAAGTTGATCAAATCCTTCCTGCCAAGCTGAGACGACGCCTCCGCCTCAGGCCCATGCGCCGGCCCCAAGTCCAGGGCAGCCGACACAACCAGCCGCGGCGCCGCCGCCGCGGCCACCTCGCCTGCCGCCCCGCCGCTTTCTCCGCCGCCAAGCCACCAGCAGTCGCCAGGCGCGTGCGCCCCCGCGGCGCCCCCGGCGGCCGCACCTGCGACCACGGCAGTTCGTCCAAGCACGCCCAGCAGTGGGGCCAGGGGCGGCGCCAGCGGGAGGTCACCTATCAGCGGCGCGACGCGCCGCGCGGCGCGCTTGTGGCGTCGCCGCCAGTCGGCCTCGGCGGCGGGGCCGCGGGGCGCGCGGCCGAGCGCCGAGGCGCGGCCGAGGTTTTGATAGTCACACGAGATGGCAAACAGCACCACCATCGCGCGCGCCAGCGCCAGGGAGTCTGGGTGGAGCGCCGCCCACCCCCACCCAGCCGCCGCGAGCGCCGCCGCGGGGCCGGCCATCTCCCGCAGCGCGTGCAGCGCCGCGCCTGCGCCCGCGGCCGCGCCGCGC